GATAATAAGTGTCGTGGAAGCAAGGCCATAGGAAATTCAATGAAAACATCATGTCTACTCACAGCATCACAAAAAAATTCAACTACCAGTTCTCTAATTATCTTAAACAAAATAGGATTAATAAATCTCATACATATAATCTACTGGTAGTTTTTAAAGTCTGCTTATAAACGAAAAATAGCTGTAATACTACTAAATTATATTGTTTCTTTATATCTTGTTATATATTTTGCTTTTAAAACATGACAGGGAAATTAAAAATAGATGAAGGAAAAAAAGAGACCATACAGTTTGCGCAAGATAAGCGATGATGCTAATATTACCTACTTGATTTGCATCCTTTAAAAAAAAGAGATTTAGATTCCTGAGACATTATGAAGGATGAGTCATAAATCAATAATGAAGATAGGCCAGCTTCTCAATGAGAAAGCATTTGTTTCGTGAATTCTATGGCAGGATATAATTTAAATTAGTACAACTGAAGTTAGGCTTCAACAGGTGTGTGCAAGGAATATTTTTTGTGTAACCTTAAGAATGAAAGAACGGACTTCTCGGTAAACTGCATTGATTTAGAAAACGAGCTTATTTTTTTACAACTTAGGAATTAGTTGAAAAGATTGAATTCAAATTACAAACAACAAAATATGCTGAGATGACAAAAAAGTGGCACGTGTAGTGAGATTAAGTTGTGAAAATGACTGGGGAAATAGCTATATCGCAAATGCGTTTGATAAACTATGTTCATAAAGAGCTCACTGTCTTCAGCGCTAATCAGACCGTTCGAGAGCCCATTCGATGAGTTCTGACTCTTTAGTTGAAGCTCCATTAGCATCTGAACAAGTTGGCGTTGCTGTTGCTGTGTATTTCCACCAGAGCCACTACCAACGGCACAGCTAGAATGGGACTGTGGCAACATTATTCCATTACTGGCAACAGAAGTTGAGGATAGTGTTTGACCAGATAATCCGTGACCAATAGATGGGCCCGAGATTCCTTGTCCACCTGTTGAAGGGTTTCGCTGGCCAAGCCCACCAATTTGGGATGAAGCGGCAGAACGCGCCGACATACCTGATACGGCAGATAAATGAGAGTCCAATGGTAAGCCTGCGGAAACGGCCGCAGCTGCAGCTGCAGCAACGGCAGCAACAGCACTAGATGGAGCTCCAGAACTATGAAGTAGACGAAATAGGCTAGAAGAATCGGCATCCAGACTGTTAGGAG